GCCTCCCAAAGTGCTGGGATTACAGGCTTGAGCCACCGCGCCCGGCCCAAATTTGACCTTTCTATCCCCCTGGTTGTCTTGCTAAATAGAACATCTTCTAGTTAAATAGACTTGGACCTTTTTTAGACTTTTAATATATCATCTCTTCTTTAAAAGGCTTTTTTTTCTCACTAAATCTCAGATCAAAACAAACATTCCTTAAATAGGCTTCAAAATCAGGCTGTAATATTTCCATTGCATGCATTCCACTGCCTGAGCTAGAGAAGTAAGCAGAAGCCAGACCAAGTACAAAGATACATTTTTCTAAGGAGTTTGGACTTAGTACCAGCAATAAAGAATCACTGAAGAGTTTATAGTATGGGATTAACACCAGCAGTTTTGTATCCTAGAAAAATCACTTCAGCAGTAGTAAGGAGAACAGACTGGAAAAAGTCAGGCAGGAGGGAGGGAGATAATGAAGATGATATTGTAGTAGACAGGTGAGAGAGGATAAGACGCTGAACCAAGGTAAGAGATAGGAGATAGAAAGTACGAGACAAATATAAAACATGTTAAATTAACGGAACAAACACTATTCATCTCCTAATGACATGGGGCTGGCGATGGTATAAGTGGAGAGATAGAAGGAGAAAATTAAGGAAAAGAAAGAAGCTTAGGATACACTGCAAGTATTTTACTTAGTTTTAGATATGTTAAGGGGGCTACAGACATCTGAAGTACAAGGCATCCAATAGGAATTTGGATTTACTGATACAGCACATACAAGAGCTGTCTGGTTTGAAGATATCAATGTGGAAGTCATCACATAATGGTATAGCCATATGGATGAACTTACCCCCCAAAAAAGAAGTTAGAGAAGCCAAGAGAAAAGAAAATGACTGAATCCATTGGAGTTAGCAATTGGGTGTGTATGGATGACTCTGCCCATGTTAGTTTAGCATGCTGAGGGTAGAAGTCCAATTGCAATGCACCGAGTGAGTGGTAGGTATAAAAGTAGACAATGAATGAAAACTGTTTTAGAAGGAAAACACAATAGTAATGGAGGAACATTTTTTAACCCAGGAAACGTTTTCGGGAAGGAGCCACAAGACAAGATAGAAAGAATATTTAAAACGCCATGAGTAGGAGGTAAATGTAATCAAGAGTCAGGTACAAAGATTTCCTTTAATTGGGAAAAGAGATATATTGATCAGACAGTAATCAAAGGATGTAGAGGTGAGTGGGGAGAAAAATTATTATTAGGAACAGAGATGAGAAGTTAAAGTGCATTCATGATGGTGTGGATTTTCTTGGAGAAGTATAGGGGCAAGGCCGTCTGCTAACAAACAAATAGGACAAGATCAGGGGCTTGATTAAAGTGGAGAAGGGTGAAAGAAGGAGTTGTCCAAGATTGGACAAAGAGTGGGATTGTCAAAGGGTATAAAAGGAGAAGTGAGTGATAGTCTCTAAAAATGTACCAGAGTCTGGATAGAGCCCAAGAGAGTGAGGGTATGAGGAGGACCATGCAACTGCTGGAGAGCAAAGAAAAGGAGGGTGCCAGTACAGTCTGACAGGGGACGCAACAAGCGGCCTGGAGAGAAAGGCAGTCTCAAAGGAAGAGAAAGACTCCGAGAGAAGGATGGGACAAGACATAGAACGCTTGATGAGACAGCAGGGGAACTGGAGAATGTGGACAAAGATACTACATATCTTTGTAGCCTTTCTCATAGCCTACGCCTACTTTCCCTTCCACTTTAATCCCTTTGCATAAAATCCCTATTTGTCTGGTTATCTGAGGGCCACCTCATTTCTCTAAGAATGAATACTTCACTGTTGTGTTCAGGTAGCTCCATTGATTGCTCTACCTCCAAAGCTTCTCTACTAAGTCTTCTCTCACTACCCTGCCTAAACTATAATGCCTTTTACAACCTCATCCCCTCTCTATGCCCTAATTTTGGTCTGTTTCTTTATAGAATTTAACTCTGCCTCCAACTCCTTTCCATTACTTTTTTATCTGCTCCATACCCCAAGGGTAAGGTCATCAAAGGTTATATAGAGGTGGTGTATGGGCACATGCAGGAACCGAAGCCAGAGGGCCTGGGCTTATATCCTGAATGTGCTTTTATTAACAGGCAATGCTAGTGGCAATATATTTACCCTCAGTTTTCTCATTTGTAAAATGGGGATTAAAATAGTAAATCACCTCACAGGGTCAGTGTGAAGATTAAGTGGAATAATGTATTTAAAGGATTTAGCAAAATGCCTTGTACACAGTAAGTGCTCTATATAAATAAGATATCATTATAATAACAGCAGTTAGAAATTGATCCTTAAAAAGTCTATGGCCATTTCAAAATGGACATGAAATTCCTTATAGTCTAAATGGTTGCCTAGCTACAGTTTTATCCTCACAACTAGACAAAATAATGGAGGATCTAATAACAATAGCATGGTGATTTAGTACCCAAATTTCTTAGACGACAAACCACTGGCAATATGGTATTTATCTGAGCATTTCTGCCAGTACCTAAACTCTTTTACCCCACTGACAGTTTCTCAGTCATACTGGTTATAGTAAGGTTATGTGGCTATAAGCGATATTATGGCAGATGTTTATGGTCTCAAAGGGAGTGAGATCTGTATGAGCATTTAATTCCACAGCAAGATCCCAAATTAGTTTCATTATTCTAGAGAGTATAACAGGGTGAAAATTGGCCCACAAGCCTCAATGGGAGAATGAAATTATGAGCTAGCTATTAGATAACCTCTAATGATGTTTTGGTATACAGTTAAAAGACAGGATGCTCTAAATAATTCATAGCGGAGAGTAAAATACAATTGTATGAGCCATAGAATTATATTTTTCACGAGACATAAAAGAATTTTGATACAGCAAATTTAAATACTTTCTTAAAAATAAATGTCTATAAGTTTGAAACAGGATACATTTCTTCACATTCCCAAATGAACACACTGGAAAGATGACTTTGCTTAAGGGGAAAAGAGTGAATTTTGGAAAATTCCTTGCCTTTGCCCTTCCTCCAACCTCAACTAACCATGCCTCTTCTTAGCATTAGCAACATACAGCCTCTGTGCTGACCATGCCAGCACTCTGTCCTAGATTCACTCTCTCTGGGCTCTCTGATCTACACCTATGTTGCCAGCATTCATTTTTTTTTTCTTTAAAAAACTGATCAGCTCTTTAGGCTTATGTAGCCAGATGCTGAAAGGAGATAAAACCCAATGCACATCAAAAGTGAGAACAGCTGATGAACTAAAAAGAGTTAGCTGGGTTTTATGCTTCTCTTGTGCCATGTTGCTTTTGGCTGTCCTCCCAGGAGAAATGGGTCTCATAATATGATGCTAATGGAATAAACCTCCATGACTGAATTAAGGTAGCCCAAGGATGTAAGTTCTATGTGAGTGGAGGGTCAGGTTAGACTTCTTGAGTCATCTGTGCCTACCATAGTGCCTGGGCCATTGGAGGCATTCAGTAAATAATACCAAGAGAAGACCACAACCTTAGAAAGGGCAGAGATAGTGTGAAACTGAATGACTAAGATAACACTGGAAAGCTTGAGATAACTGAGGACATGTGAACCTTTCTGATGGCCCTAGAATCACAGAAAATTATCTGTGAATACCAAATTCAAGATATTAAAAAGAATTCTAAGTCGCTGCTTTGCTTTCAAAATCCAGCATTATACCGGAGACTATAAGTTGTTGCCTAAATGTCATTAAATGACATTTAAATGCCTTGAATTTCTCATGATGAAGATAACTATTTGAGGTCAGCAAATGAGAATTCGAGGTTAGAGAATGACTGGTACAATGCTAGGCCCATAGTAGGTACATGGTAAATACATGGTAAAAGAAAGAAAGTATGAATGAAAGGTATTACCAAACCTTCCTTACTTAAAAGGAGGGCCATCTATGAAGAACAGTTGTGGGTGGTAGACAGCCAAAGGGCAGGCTCAGAAAAGAACATGAGATGGAGAGAGAGAAAGACCAGACCTCGGGGTACACCAGGAGCCAGCCAGTCGAATGTTCTAGGAGCAGCCCTTTTCTAAATTAATGATTGGCTCTTTTTGAGTATTTTAACCTTATTAGGATGACACATAAAGCTGTTGAATTTTGTATTTTTTAAAAATGAGATTTCCCTTTAAAAATAATGTTTAGAGGAAGGTGGATAAAGGGAGTCACTGAACTTAAACAAAATGGCTAAGACAAGAAACTTTACTTTCTGGAAAATTTTGCATTCTGCCAGATGTCTTTTTTAAAAAAAAACATTTTAAATATATTTCAATTTCCATTTGTTTTCACAACTTTGTTGAGATATATAATTAATATGCCAAAAGATTTCCCCATTTAGAGTATACAATTAGATGGCTTATACTATATTCATGGAACTGCATAACCTTCATAAGTATCTAATTTTAGAATATTTTATTCTCAAATGAAACCCTGTATCCATTAGCAGTCACTCCCCATTCCCTCCTCCCCTCAGCTTCTGGTAATCATTGATCTACTCTGTCTCTATGGATTTGCCTATTCTGGACATTTCTAATAAATAGAATCAAATGATATGTGGGCTCTTGTGTCTGGCTTTTTTCATTTAGCATGTTTTTGAGGTTCATCCCTGTGGCAGCATGAATCAGCACTTTATTCCTCTTTATTGCTGAATAATATTCCACTATATGGATATGCCACATTTTATGTATCCATTGACTTGTTGATGGACATTTGGCTGCTTCCACATTGTGTTATTTTGAAAAATGCTGCTATACAAATTTTTGTATGGACATAACATTTTGAACACTCCCACACAAATTTTTGTGTGGACATAATATATTCATTGTTGGGGCATATGATGATATGCTCAACATTTCACATAAGCATATTCTATGCTTAACATTTTGAGGACCTGCCTATTTTCCAAGGTGTGCCACCACTCCTGAGGTAGAAAAGCAAAGGCCTATTTTGTTTTCTGAGAAAGAGTGAAATAGTTTCTTTTTTAAAAAAAGGATAAGGCCATAACCTCAAAAGGCATAACATTAGTTTGAAACAGAACTATAAACAGAGCATTGGAATTTGGTGATTAAAAAGCCTATGAGTGACAACAAATGGACCCCAAGATGAGGCTGCTATTCCTTGGCTTAGTGATCCGCCTTCTGGCGTATTTCTGAAGACTCTAGCCTTTGCATGGTTTGTTGGCAGTTGTATTGAAATCCCACACTTCCATCTTATTAAATGTTGAGATAGCATGCTTTCAGGAAGTTTCTACTATTAGGACTTTTGATATAATATATCAAAACATTTGGGTAAATGAAGATATAGAAATTAGATATAGATATGAAATTTATTATTTCATTCTACCTTTTATTGTAGATTTAGGGAGGACAATATTATTTCAATTTAAAACAAAAAATTTCATCAGCTGTTCTTAAATTACTTGTGACAGATACTACATCTTGCTCATTGTTATATCCCTTGTCTTTAACTATAGGGGCTAGAGAGGCAACAACAATTGTTGAATTGAAACTAAATTACCTTTACGCAATATTCTAGTAATTAATTTTTAATCTGCTATACATGAACTAAAACTAAAGTCTATGCACTCAAAATGCAACATATGAAACCACTGTGTGGGTATGTGTATGAACATGTATGTGAATATGCTTCTCAACCTGCAGTTTAACAGCCTTTATGAAATAATTATAAGTGATAAGCACTTCGGAAAATACACGGTGAATATTTTCCGTTTCAGCAGGTTCCTTTCCCTGGAGAACAAAGCTGAAGTACTCCTTTTACAACATTCTAACAGAAATCTATAAAGGCGAGTTAAAAAAGAACACATATTTTTGCAAACAGGTTTCATTTTTCCTGAAAAGACTTTACAATCATGTACTCCTATCCAGGGATTTGGTGGTCCTATGCTAAGCTCAGAAAGGAAAACACATTTAGTTTTTCTGTTAGAACTACTTGAAATAAAGGCAGTCACCTTCTAAAAGGGCATATCACACAGAGTGACAAATAACAGGTACAGTTTATAAAAATTCAATACTATTAATATTTGATGGCTGCTTTTCACCAATTCCTCAAAGAATGTGATTTAATTTTTTAATGTGAGATTAACAGTTTTTTCTAACATGCTAATAGTATGACAGATTCTTATCTTGGATGTGCAAAAAAGCTCAATAAGTCAACAGCGTTTTTGCAACACACAAATATATTTTTCTCTAGTTGGCAAAGAACATGCTGCCTTGTAGATTTCCTTTGTCAATACAAAGCAAAGTATATTTCAAAGATTAGATTTATAGTCTAAGAAAACAATCATGACATTTAAACAAACATCAATGGATAAAACTTTTGAAATTTTTTGAACTAAGAAATATTTAAAAAGAATTAAAATATATTTAGGTTTTTGTTCATGCTTCAAAGCAATATGGCTATCTATGTTTTATATTAAGATAAACCAGAGGCAGTGCTTAGCGTAAAATGTTCTGTAATCCTGGTTGAAATTAGCAATTTAAATTTGCTGAATGAGGTTACAGTGCAATATCTAATGCACAAATCATAGAGATTTGAGTACTTGCATAGTTGTTAAAAAATGTATCAAAAAGCCATAGGTTAACAAAAATGAATGTATGTTACATTATTATTAAAATATGCACTCTTTGATAATAATTTATTTGTTTTACAAATGCATTGGGGGGGCTAAAATTTTTCAATTCATCTGTGACAAAGCATGAAATTCAATATTGCTCACCATGACCAATCCATGAAATTTGTCAACTTTGTTCCTGATTTTCACAGGGCCTTCCTCTTAGATGAAATGACGCATTGAACTAAGAGCATAGCAATTTTTTCATCTATGGTAAATCAGTTTAGTTTTCTAGGATTTATTATGGGCTTCAGACTTGAGCTTTTTATGATTATGAACCATTATGTACATAATATCAACCGTATGGCAATTTATCTCACTGTTTCTTTCCCTTTCTGAAAGAATTCTCCATTTCTAAAAGTAGCTCTCAACTTGGGTTGCTAGAAGGAACACTCAGTAAACAATGGGCTTATTGAAAGTCAGAGTAGGTAAAAATTACATGGAAGCTGAAATCAAAGCAGTTAATTACCTTAGGGATATCAAATACAAATGTCTCAACATTTATGGAAAATTAAGATTTGTATATTGCTTTTACCAGAATGTTTTGCAAAGAAACACTTGACCTGATTTATCCTTAGAAATAGACATATGTAAAATTTTTACTACCCATGAAGATACAATTATGTAGTTAAAAAATGAAAGTGGAGGAGGTTATAAACAAAATGGTATTAATGTTTTATTATTAGACTCTTCTAACCTCCTCTGTAACATTACAGATATGAATTAACAAGAAATCAAAAGTAATTAAATGTTTCTAGATTTCTCTAAATCTTATTTGTTGAGCTAAGTAAAATATTTCCACATTTAAAAAATGTAATTATTAATTCTATTTCCATTTGCCATTACTAGTTGAGGTACATCTCAAATATAGTTTTCCTTTTCATAGAATATCAAAAAATCACTGCGATAATTAGGCCGTCAATATAATTTGATCATTTAAACAACCCAAATTGTGAAGCTAAAAATGTTCCTGATTGTATCAGAACTTTATCAGCTGAATGGGATTGACCAATAGAGACATAACACATTTTTGGGCACTGAGTTGCATTGAGAATTATGAACCCCCTGTTGGTTGGTGTTAGTTTTAATAAATGGCCTAGTTCACAGTCTCAAAAATGCACTTCAAAAGATTTCTACTTGTAATTTCACGTTATTCAATAAGTGTTTGAAAATAACTTTGTTAATCACATTATTATATATCATAATAGGTAAAAGGAAAATCCATTTGATACTTACTTATATAATTCTGTTAATGGTGAAGTCAAAATGACTAATGTTGTAAACAGATTATTACAATGGGTATGAATTTTAAAAATTGTATTATCTGTATGCTCATGAGGATTCAAAAGTTTTTGTACAGATGTACAAACTGACCATAACATGTTCTCAGTGCATATTAAAATTGTTGTGACATCAAGTCTGTTGGAAAGAAAGAAAAGGAAATCATGTTAAACAAAATAATGTTTCTGCTTGGTAGGCACATTGATTCATATCTCTTATAATAAGCATACATACGAATAGAAAAATTCAGTTAGACACTGGAGCTTCAGAGATCAAAACCAAATAAAAAGCATACAAGACACTCTTTGAGTTTCTAGGTTAGGTGACCCACAATACCATTATTTTTAGGGATGGTGAGCTCTGTAATAGTGTTTTAGGGGTGCTTTTAAAAAAATGTTTATTTTACATTATTAGGATTCTGTTCAAGAAATTCAAGAGATCCCAGAAATTACACTAAGCAAAAGAGAAGCTAGATGAAAAGAAAAATTTGCTATTATCCATATATATGCATGATAGGTTAAAATTCGAGGACAAAACAATTCTCCTCAATCATGTGTAAGCTGTCAAAAAAAAATTACAAGATTGGCAACATGTTCTCCTAGCAAGTGGGAAATGAGAAGAAAAGACAAAGCTCCAATCAAGAAGCCTATAGTTTCAGAAGTGTTTAATATTAAATATATGGAAAATATGCTGTATTATTTATCTTGCTCACAGACTTATTTCTTTGTTTTCATCTTCTTGAGTTTTAATAGGGACCCAAAGATCTTTTTAATTATTATTTTGGCATATAACTAAATTGAACAGATCTTAGTTTGTTTCTTCTTTTTTTCTTTTAAATTCAGGGGTGAAGAAACAGAAGATGAAAAGTTTGAAGCGATAAGAAAAATGCAAGTTTGAGGATCTTTCATGACACTTTTGCCTCAAATTTATTATATATAATACATATTATACATTAATAATATATGACACATATATAAATTGTATATATGGCTTGGTTATGTGACATTTGGAGGCTACTGGAATACAAAAATAATCAATAATGGCCTTTACAAAGGTTTAATTTTAGTTTGTATATGCTTTTTGTAATTGCTAGATAAATAATGACTAATCCAACATATATGTAGACACACACACACACACACACACACACACACACACACAAACACAATCCGATTTCCATAATAATGGTAGTTTAGGATTAACCAGTCAAATAAAATTATTTATATATTTTACTTATAAAAACTAGAAGAAATACTTCTAGCATTGCATGACATTTTTATGCAGCCACACAGAAAATAAAAACCAAAAGTCTCCATTGTACAGTTAATTAATTAAATATATGACCCATTTCTACCTATTTCATGAGCTAACAGTAAAGCTGATTTCACAAATATCTCATAATGACTTGCCATTTCATAATCAAAAGTGATTTATGCTACCTAAGGAAAAGAATGAAGGTATTCTTTGCTTTCAAAAGGAATTTTCCATCTATTCTTCAGAGTTCAATTTTTTTGAAAAGTCTGGTCAGTAATTCAAAACAGCCTGTGCAAAATACCATATTTATGAAACACTGCAGCAGGACCTAAATGCCCTTCAAATGGCAGTATGCTTTACAAGAACATGATCAGGAAATGATTCCTCCTGCCAAAAAAAAAAAAAAAAAAAGCCTAAAAAGCCTCCGATGTCTGTAGGTTTCTTGTAAAATATATCTGAAAAAACTTAATTCTACCTAAAAAGTCTGAATCATATTACACAGAATATTTACAACAAAAACCTTTTCTTCATATACATACAAGACCTTTGTAGTCTTGTAAGCACATTCATATATTCATTGCCTAGATAACTCATAGAATTGTACTATAAATTCAGCCTTATTTAATACTCAGTGACTGTTGCTCCTCATTTTCTGTGATTTCATACTTTGTTGAACTGGCTTTTCTAATAAACAATGAAATAAAAGGAAAAAAAGAGTTAGAATATACTAGGAAGAAAAATAATTACACGAAATAGTTTTCTTAATGAAGATAAACTTCTATATTTAAAGGCTTAAGAAAAAACAACTAAAATCTCCTGGTTGCCTAGAAGCTCAAAATCAAATTAGTCAAATTGACTGCTCCATCATGGCATGGATGCTTTGTTATCAATTTCAGGGCCTTAATTTTCTATTTTTATCTTAGTAACATTTGTAGATCTATGTCCTAGATTATAAGATACCTTGAATCATTCTTTAGAAACAAGTGGGTTCTACAGACAATTTTAAGGAGTAAAAAGAACAAATTTACTTTGATTCAGGTTTCATATTTTCACTTAAATAACTCAGGAAAATAGAATATGATTTCTTTTCAGATGTTAGAAACATGTTAAATATATAAGGAGTATGCCATGAGATTCAGAATTACATTCTGCTTTATACCAACTGATAAAAAGTTTTCTGGAAAAGCAGTGTTTTTCAGAACTTCAATTACCTTAACTGTGGGGTTCTCTTACGGCTGGGGTGAGCACGGGCATATCTGGAGGCAAGTAGACCCAAAGATTTCTCCAGCACTTCTGCTAGAATCTCCCGGGCTAACTTAGGAGGCAGAATGGTCCAGAGATCATGATGAAGAGCCCAGCAGAAATAATGCCACATCTGGATCGAGAACGAACATCTTTCCCCCTGGCAAAACCACCACACGTTAAACCATAGAATTCCGTCTTCCAAAATGTCAATTTGCTTTCTATGAACCTAATTAGTTCAGGCTGAAAGGAAATAGCTAAAGAGTCTGACACACTAGCAGACCAACAAAGGTTTTTGACAAGATGTAAAACATCCTTATTGACAAAGGAACAGATGTTTTATTTAAATTATGAGACTAGATATTCTAGTGCAAATCCAGACCACAAATATTTAACCTAGCATAGCCTTGATTTACCTACTCCTAGCCTATGGTTTAAAATTTATTTTTAAACAACTTGCTTTGTAGTTGCTGAAAAAGTCATGCTAGCTTGTTTAAGACAGTGGACTGATTCTTCTAAAATTAAAATCTATTTAAATCATTTCAGTAGGTATATTTTTCTGAGCCTATTAGCATCACTGACGTAATTTTATAAACGTTTCAGATTTCACATTATAATGAAGTGACAGGAGTAAAAAGAAACTCGGACACTGCATTCTTAGAAACATTCTTGAAACCAAGGGGGATGGGTAACTATCAAAGATTATTACATTAGGCTATTTTGCCTATGTTATTTAAATAACAATACTAGAAACAGCTAACCACAAAAATCTGAGTATACAAGATTCTTTAAAGCCTAGGTACATATTATCACCATTTCTTAGTATTTTTTTATGGCATCTCATACTTTTAAAGAGTCATATTTTCATTCTTTTCCACCCCAGTACAGATCTCTTCTGTGTGCCAAATTTTCTGACTGCAGAGGAAGAGCTAACAATGGCTAGGGCAAAGGGGAACAGGCAGAAAGAAGGTGGCCTCAAGTGATTTACAAGCATTCATCAGGTAAAGCGTCCTCTCAGGAAGATATGCTAGTAGTTTCATCTCATTTTCTTCAAATCAGATCAAATGATTATTTGAAATAGGAAGATTAGAATGCATTCCTCAAGCATTATCTTGATTATGTTAATATACCAAAAGTTAAACTAGTAAAATTTCCTCTTATATTCCAAGTGATTATCTCTTACTTAAAAATTCTGCTTTGTCCACTATTTGTATTTGTCAAAAAAATGTCATCTAAAAAAAAATCTGTTGTTCTGTTGTGTCAAAAGTTGATAGTTTCTTATGCAGACACTCTCTTCAGTATTTTCTTTATGTATTACTCTTCCGGTAGTTTCTTTGATTACTAATATCTTCTGCAGTCACCTTAACAATAATTTATAGTTATTATCTACTGACTTCCATATTGCATTTATAAATGCGTAGAATTTGTACTCCTTGGGTAAGAAACTTGGGCATCAAAATGTCAGAGTCAAGTTCAAACTGGTGGGGACTTTGGCCACTGGCTTCTGATTTCCTAATTAGATGTGTATCTAAACTAAGAAAAAGACATTGGGAAACTAATGCTGAAGCAGCAAAGTTACAGTTTCTTATGCTTTCTTTGTTGTGTGTTTTGATGAATACTTTTTCAACTAAGAAAGGAGTTTTAATGCTTGACTTTCTCATATTTATTGTGTTGCATGTAAATTAAACTGAAACTGACCCCAGCTGATACAGTGACTAATATGAACGATTTACACTAATTTTCCCCATGGCAATGTGTGGGTTCTTATTGTAACATGATCACAATGATTTCTCATGTTCTTCAAAATATGAATAAACTTCCTTAATAGCTATCATTTAGTGATAAATGAGAAATAAAAGTAACTTAGGCACACAGATTTCTTCTCTTAAAAGTCAAAAATACTTATTTTAAGACTTTTTAAAATATAAAATTCATGCTTAAAATATTTCAATAGGTCTTTGTTCTAACAATTATTTTTAAAATTCATACAACTTCAATGTACGCAAGAGTTTTCATTAAACTAAATGTGATTGATTTATTTTTCTGACCTGTTTCCTTATTTGTTGTCATTTCAAAAGTATTCTGCTAGTAAACATCTGTTATTTTTGCAGACCCACTATAATGTAAACAGATGTGAGTTTTTATTTAGATTATATATCAGGAAACAAGCAGCTGGGCTTTATTATAGAAGCCACTCAGTATTATTTTTGAACAGACAATTCTTTATTCTTTGACTACTGGAAAACACAAGTTCCTAAAACTGAGCAGATGTCAACTATACTAAAAGCTTAATTTTAAACATGTAATTTGAACACCCACTGTGCCATCGTGACCAGTACCTCATCAGAGAGATACAGAACTCTTTAACTCTCTCAACCTGACAGTTTAGAAAATGGAAATAATGTATCTGCATCTAACTTGCTATCACAAAACATGAGCAAATATTGCTGCATATCTTGTAAATTATTTTACTATTTCTTTACTATGCTCTGCACATGGTGATAGGTTCCCTTGAGACCTCTATCATATCCTTCACCTCCAGTCAGGCAGATATCATCTTTTTCCCTCTCAAAGCAGGACTGCCAAAAACGTAATAGTTCTGTTTCACAAATCAGTTGGAATAATGGGGAGAGGAGAAGAAAGGGGTGCAGTAAGCAAGATAAAGCCATGTCAGGTACTCCAGTTGTCAAAACAGTTTAAAATCAGTGCTATTTTTAGAAGGTTCTTATTTTTGATACATAAAAAAGCAGTATCACTTTATTTTTCTGAGAATAAATAACAACCACTAACTCTGCAATTAAATTGTAACTACTGACCATGTAAGTATATGGAAGCTACAGTACCATGTAATCACAGGGTAACTATCTTGTTATTTCCGTCTTTGAAGCTAAAGCCTTGTCATAAGATCTAAGAGCTGCATGTTACATGGTAATTTGTTGGTTTTTTTAAATACTTGGTAACTTCAATAACAGGTTCTCAATGCATCCACTTATTTATACTGTACAACTCTTCTAGCTCCCAATTTGCATAAGAGGAAACATAACACCCCTGTGTTGAACATATAGTGAGATGATACCTGTTCTTCATGGAAAACATCATATAAAATTGCTCATTAGTAGTACACTGACATATTGAAATAGTTTGAAACATGAGACGGATTCATTTTCAACCACTCTGTTTACTTCAAGGCAAATAAGGAAAATATGATGTTGCCAGGAGAGGGGAAGACCAATACTTTCATTCTTATCTCACGCTACCAGCTGCACCACACCACTTTCTCTTTCTCATTCTGCTCGCTCTTTCCATGACTGAAGTATGTCAGATTTGGAAAACTCCATATGGATGCTCTTGCAAAAAGAAAAACTCTCTGGGAAGGGCCTCTAAAGGAGAGATGAAATGTTCTTGGAAAAAGTGGAAAGTTCTTTAAGAGAGCTTCTTATTAGCTGCTCCTCTCTGTTGTAGCAACATTTATTATGATAATAACTGAGGCATAAATGAAACCACAGGAACCTGCAGTGCCTGCAAGGTGACAGGAGTGATTCTGTTGAATAAAACTCCACTATGTTTTTCTCAATATGTTATAGTGATTAGGACAATCAAGAAAATGAAAGTCATAAACTTCAATCTAGAAGAAAAGGTAAAATGGAAAAGGTAATGAAGCTGGGCATGGCTGTTGCATTTTTTTTAACCCTGATTACTAAGATATTATAAATGTTTCACTCTGCCCTGGAATCAACTTCAAGGAATTTCAAATATTGTGGTCTGTGCATAATCAATGAGATTTAGGTGAAGGGAAACCAATGAAGCTTGATGATGAATAATTTTAATTGATCCTGGGTTTGGTTGCACTGGGAATCATTAGGCTTCAATTTGCTAAAATCTGGGATTTCAAAACATAGGCTAAATGAAAATAGGTAAGCTATAAATGATCAGATGAGTCTTTTTTTTTTGAGATGGAGTCTCCCTCTGTTGCCCAGGCTGGAGTGCAGTGGCTGGATCTCAGCTCATTGCAACACCGTCTCCCGGGTTCAAGCAATTCTCCTGCCTCAGCCTCCTGAGTAGCTAGAATTACAGAAATACACCACCACACCCAGCTAATTGTTTGTATTTTTACTACGGAAGGGGTTTCACCATGTTGGCCAGGCTGGTCTCAAAGCCCTGACCTCAAGTGATCTGCTGACCTCAGCCTCCCAAGGTACTAGGATTACAGGCATGAGCCACTGTGCCCAGCCTCAGATGGGTCTTAAAGCACACTCATAAGAACATACGATGAGAAGGAAAAAAATTATAAAGAATAAAACTGCTTAATAAAAGGTATTTATCAAACACAGATGGAAATATATAACAAGAAAAAATGCAAGGATATCCATAACTAACTGGTCCTTTTGGAAAAAATACAAGGTTGTAGCATTTTGGCATTCTTATCTCTTTGAGTTTTCATTGTATCCCATTATATTCCAACTTATATAGCACTGCAACATTGCAGCTCAAATGAGGTTATTTTTACTTTTAAGCAGAAGGAGAGTTCTGATGTCTAATTTGTTTCAGGTTTTTAAAAACAGTGTTTTTCCTAAGTATGAATTCAATATTTAAAAAATATTATCCTAACAGCCTTCATGTATTAGTAATGCCAAACTCATGTTTCTAATTAGCCAGAAAGCAGGTAGGCAGTAAAACATATTTGTGTAAAAAGGAAGGATAGTAAACTTAACTTCACACCTCATAAAAAGCTTTGTAGTCGTCCCAGTGGTGGCTCTCAGCATCCTGTAAAATGCTTGTAGCACAAACTCTGACGCAGTAGTTCGTAACCTGAAACTGTAGAGTGTTGATGAATTCCTGATATCGTTGGACAGGCACCAGGAATATGGGTCTGTTCAGAGAGAATGATCAAAGAGACAGAGATTTAAGGCCTGTGTAGTAGGAGATAACAATCTCCAGTACTACAAATGGTTTTGATTATTAGATATCAATCATTCATTTCCTCTTAATGCTGAAGTTTGCATCCACATTCACTTTCCAAAAAGGAAAAAAAAAAAAAAACTGGTCTTTGTTTCACAGCCCTTTGAAAACATACATCTGCTGTTCTACAAATACACACTTCAATTTGAGACAAACTGTATTGTCAATACATCATTCAAAAATAAAAGTGTTCTTTGTAAGCCTATTATTAGAGATCAGTGCATTATTTAGGCATTAGGTTATTGTTATTACTAGAGAACAACATGCACTTGTCAGAACCAACTTTTATAAAGCTATCAAATGTCCCACAAACACATTATTTTTAAAAATTATAATTCTGTAGATATCAATTATCTCATAAACTGTTTTTTAAAATTCTACAGAAATATTAAAATGATTTCTGACACATTTTGTTTATAAATTCAAGCATGAATCACAACATCTGACTACTTGCAAGAATTTAAAGATATATCACAGTTACACCCTAGCCAAATTCATTTTACTTTTATCTTTAGCTATGAATATTACACTGTTTTCTTTCATAACCAATGGGCTATAAAGGCTGGATAAAGATTATAGAATAGATTCTTGGGGTCACAAGGGACTGCTAAGTCCACATGTTTCCTTTGCAAGAAGCCATGCTATATCTAGAGAGTGTAAGGGCAGCCAGAAAGACCATGTGATAATTAATGCCTGTGGTCATTTTTATCTCTATTCAGAAAACATACTGCAGTTTTAGATTACAAATACATGAAAATTAAGACTGCAGATGCTTTCTCTTCAAATATTACAGTTCACCACTAAATGGCTGTCTTGAAATATGTTTACATTGATCATTAAAATAGATTACAATGCATTTATTTTCTAAGTCTGCTCCATGAGACAAGAAGTTTATTTCTCCTTTTCAGTGTGGTCAGTATAATGCACTTTACAAAATGAAAGGATACATTTACTCATGTAATAACAACAGAAAATAGTTGCACTGGATTAGGGTGTTACTAGGGTTCTTTTGAGTGTGCATTTAGAGAGAGTACCTTTCTTTCTATTATCTGGTCTAACATATCCCATACTCCATCTTTTTGATATTTCCTAAAGACAAATGAAAATAATTCACCCTGTTCATGACTATTTTCTCTTTCTCAAATCTTATTATCAAAATTTCATTCCTGTGATATCCAAAGATATCACCTTTCTTTAAGCGTGACCATCAACTTAATTTAAACAACACTCACTTTTTAGTAATTTCCTTCATCAAATTATCATATTGCTTGAAGTACTGGAAGACATACACCGTTGTGGAGAGGAGTATGTGCAAGTTTTTCAGGGGAGCTTTGGAAGGAACCTCCTTGGCTCTCTCTTGCAGTCTCTGCAGGACAGCTGTTGCCACTTTACAACAGGCTTCCATCAAGTTTGCTCTAATTTCCTGAAAAGAATCATCTCTGCATGCCAGAGCCAGTGGGAGCATTGTGTCAAGTTTTTCTGTGATGTCAGAACAAAACTAGGGAGAAATAAATGTGGCACTGAGTTATTTGTATCCTGACAGCACCAACTAATTTATGGACAGTGGAGCCAAATTCCTAAATAATGAATTTGGCATCAAACATAAATATAATGATGCAGCTCTGTAATAATCGATTTCTCAGTTGCAGAAAGTTAAATGTTTTATGTCAAATAAGGAAATACCAAAATGATGCTTCTCTACATATAACCTTCAAACCTTATACTTACCAGACAGACATTATGAAAAACTCATGAGCCAGCTTTACAGGATAATACCTTTCTCTGTAGTTAGTAGGACTCAGAAAATATATATCCTTGATATTAACATTTGCATTATTTTTTAACTTATTCTAATTTTCTTTTGCTAAATTGCCATAAAGGTTTTTTTAAATTATATGCCACATATAAATGTTAGTTTAATTTAAATAATCTAGAAGAATCAGAAACAATATCATGTAGCATCCTCTTATTGGTAGGGTGTCAGCAACTTTTAGAAGTGATGAGTCTAGCCTTTCGCCATTTATTATGTATCTTCTCTTTCTTAATGGCAGAAGGGAGGTGTGGTGAATGGAAAAGTAAAGCCTGTCTCCACATCAGATCAGTCAACAGATATCAGTCAACAGATATCCCTAGGGAATGTTCTGGAGCCTTAGTGTGACAGTGGCAGAATAAGGAGGTCATCTTCAAAAATTCTCTTTTAAGAATATCCCAATCACAGGTTGCTGAACTCATTCTGGGTTTAATGCCAAGTGACTATATTTACCTCCTATTTTCTCAGTGTGTTCTGTGACTTTCAAAACACCTATGGAGATGTAAGACTGATACTAATGAGGTGAAAAGCTCATTAAAGTGTTAATGAAGATTTTTTAAGTTCCCAAACCAAGAAAAGACAGTAACTCCTTCAACCTCCTAAATTTTCCTGGAGTCATTCAAAGTTGTAATAAAAACAGGTGGTTTTCCCGGTGTTTCCCAGCCCCCCATGAAGTCACAGAGGCCCCTTTTTTGTTGCCTCAGATTCATGGAGCAACAAGCTAGCACCAGGTGTAAGTCCTTTTGGGCAGCAGTGGCCTGTGGATACCACTGAAGAAAACTGGTACTGGGTTGAGTACCAACTATTTGCCAAGGGACTCCATTTGATCTACTACACTAGTATACTAAAATAAATCCCATCATGCCAGTCAGCAGTTTGAAAAGATTTCATATACTTGCTTTTCCAATTTTCTTTGGTCGTTCCTCCTCAGGAAACATATGGCTGTCTTGCCAAACTTGCTGGACATTTACAAGGTTCATAGTATAACTCACAGCTGAAGACCTTTCATTTTGTTCTTGTTGGAGAATTTTTTCAGAAAAACTTTCAATTGCAGTTATTATGCAGTGTGCCATGGGAAGAGACACTTCTTTAAATGTACTTCTCCAGTCAAAATCTAGTAAAATAGCCTGAAATATAAATTCATATGAAGTCATGTTAATCTTAATTGAGCAACAAATGTTTCTATTGTTATAGATATAAAATTATTACTTTCATTCAACATGTTGAATATATTCTTTGATATATTGTAGAAGCCCATTCTTACAACCTAAAAAATATTACCTAGTGAATGCAGCAATATACAAAAACATGTACATTCTTTACACACAGTAATATACTGACATTTCATTTTAATTCATCAGTAGATTTAATAAAAAACTTTTTAAAAAATTTAATCTCTTAAATATAGTTCAATAAAGCCATCTTTACAAGAGCAGAAAGCTACACTTACTATTCATCACATAAAACAACCTTTAAATTCAATATATTTAATAAAGTCTAAATTAGATTTTTATAGTCTTTTTTATAGTTTATTGTTAACAACCATTGCAACATAAGACAGCATTTAATATTCAACCTTTTATTTCCTTTTCACTCCAGACAAGCCAAAAAATAGCAATAAGAAATAAATTTCTCAGCAAAAACACACCACTGCACTTTCTAGATTTTTACTTGCTTAGAATTTTAGCCCCTCCAGCTGCAAAGTCATAAGCAGCACTACTTTTGTTCTAAGAATGAAGAATTGAAATAATCTGCACTGTTGTGTTGTGGTGACAGGGGGTGGTACTTGGAAGGGGGTAGAAGGGGTTGAGGTACAGGCTGATGTTTTCTTTTTTTCCTTTGGTCTGTGGCTCATAAGGCAATATATTTATAAATGTATATATATTCATAAATGTATATTTCCTCCAAGACTCCTAACATTCTTTAAAGTTCAAAAGCATTATGGGTACTAGGCTGAACCTATGCTTAGAATTGAACTTGCTCTGTTTTAGTGTAACTTTGTTTATACTAACGTGCCACCTACCTCAACTTCAGAAAACCCTGAGCTCTACGTCTCTGACTGAATGACTTATATTTCTTGATCTCAAGGGGTTTTTTGCTAAAAAAAAAACAGAGCAAAACTGTATAATTTCTATGGTCCCTTTTATTCTAAAATTACTGAAATTATAATCATAAGCCTGATTCTCTTATATGTACAACCCATTCAGCAATAATTTACTCTTTACATAACTGTACAAAGTAATAAAGGTAATTCATTTTTTAGAGCTAAAATTATGTGATTCCATGACTCTGATCACTCATGTCATCAGAAAAAATGACTTTTGTGTTCATTACGCTCGTAACTAAGTTGTAATGGATCTTTCTAAAGACTATTTGGATCTCAAGCATGATAGGGCCTAAAATACATCTCTCTTGTCATATATTTGCATAAAATTTCTCAAAAATGGGCCAGGTGCGGTGGCTCATGCCTGTAATCCCAGCACTTTGGTAGGCTGAGGTGGGCAGACCAGGAGATCGAGACAATCCTGGCTAAAACAGTGAAATCCCGTCTCTACTAAAAATACAAAGATTAGCTGGGCATGGTGGCACAAGCCTATAGTCCCAGCAACTTGGGGGGCTGAGGTAGGAGAATTTCTTGAACCCAGGAGGCGGAGGTTGCAGTAAGCTGAGATCACGTCACTGCACTCCAGCCTAGGTGACAGAGTGAGGCCGTGTCTCAAAAAAAAATTCATCAAAAATTGAATCTGGCCGGGCGCGGTGGCTCAAGCCTGTAATCCCAGCACTGTGGGAGGCCGAGGCGGGTGGATCACGAGGTCTAGAGATCGAGACCATCCTGGTCAACATGGTGAAACCCCGTCTCTACTAAAACTACAAAAAATTAGCTGGGCATGGTGGCGCGTGCCTGTAATCCCAGCTACTCAGGAGGCTGAGGCAGGAGAATTGCCTGAACCCGGGAGGCGGAGGTTGTGGTGAGCCGAGATCGTGCCATTGCACTCCAGCCTGGGTAACAAGAGCGAAACTCTGTCTCAAAAAAATAAAAAAAATTGAATCTACTCAACTGATATAATCTTATTTCTTATAAGAGAACTTAGAAGTGGCATAGTTCTAACCCTGTGCTATAACAGTAATTCCTTGGGACACATTTATGAAAGAAATGTAAAAATAAAACTACCTCCATAAAAATTCAAACTAAAAAATTCTAATTTTTGTTTTCCCTATCAGGGCATGTCTATTCACTAAAATTATTCATTTATTCATTCAAGCAAATATGTCCTGGTGGAAAATGTCATTAATTGCCATGGCTGCATTGAATTTTGAAAAAATTTTTGTGCAGTTAAAGTTACCTTTGCCTATCATAATGTAACTATAATATGTTGGCCTATCTGAATTCTCTTTTCAAAATATAGAAAAACAAGTACATTAACAGCTGCTCTTAAAAAGAAAACTGAAGGCCAGGCATGGTGGCTCACACCTATAATCCAGCACTTTGGGAGGCCGAGGCAGGTGGATCACCTGAGGTCTGGAGTTCAAGACCAGCCTTGCCAACAAGATGAAACCTGTCTCTATTGAAAATATAAAAAATTAGCTGGATGTGGTGGTGGGCACCTGTAATCCCAGGTACTCAGGAGGCTGAGACAAGAGAATCACTTGAACTCGGGAAGCAGAGATTGCAGTGAGCCAAGATTGCACCACTGCACTCCATCTTGGGTGATAGAGTGAAACTATGTGAAAGAGAGAAAGAAAAGAAAAGAAAAGAACAAAAGAAAAGGAAAGGAAAGAAAGAAAAGAGGCGAGAAAGAGAGAGAAAACTGAAAACCTGTACTTATTCAAACCTCCAATAGTTTATTTGCTCTTGTGAAATATAGTTTGCTTACTTCTACTCTTCTCTTCTGACATTTGCCATCATACATATTCCATTTAGTCTAGAGAACATTTACTAGTCGATCCAAGTAAAAAGAGAATCACTCAGTTTTCTCTTTTACACACAAATCGATAATCTGTTGAATCTCTGTTTTCTATTATCTAATGCTAATTTCTTAATACGGTACTGATTTTGATTTTTGGTTAAAGCATAATATATAATTTAGGATCTTCCTATTTCTCTTGCTTCCTAGGATAAAGCTCTGTTAAAACTATATGTTGTTTTGCCTCTTTAAATATTTACCTGGTGTATCAGTCAGGGTCCATTTGAAAAATAGAAATTACTCAAGACTTTTCAAAAGGAAGAATTTTAATGCAGGGTTTTGGTTACCTATGTGATGGAAGATTTGAGAAGTCAAACATGGACTGTGAAGTATGACAGATATTAATAGAGCAGGAGGCCACAACCACCCCTAGGGCTGGAGGAATGAAGAAAAGGGATTAAGTTATGGGAGAGTAGCTCCTGGGGGCTACCAGTTGAAGCTAAAGCCCAAGCAGACATGCCAGGTGGAACTGAAGTCAGGCAGGGCAAGCTGCATGGTGGGATCAGGGCTCACAGTGAAGATAAAGGTGTCACAGCCGTTATCAGAGATGCTCCTTAAGACGGAGCGAGGAGAAAAAACACTCTGGTTTCTCTGCAACTCCTACACTCTGTCAATGCCTTCCAACAGGTCTTCCATCAATGCCTTTAACTGGCTAAACTGTCCCAGAATCCAGAAAGCAAGGGGGCCTGGAATGTGTAATTCTCTACAATCTAGAGCAGAGCAAGGAATGGTAACAGACCTTGGGAACAATCACAGGATGGGTATGAAAAATATGAGGCCAGTTGAGATGATTGTTTCCTTTTCCTTTATAATCTCCATTTTCTCACTTTTCAACAATTATCTATAGCCCACATCCTCAAAGTGGAAACCCTGAGTCAGGATAAGAACAAAGATATCTTGACTTCCATCTTTCTATTCCGCCCATGGAACAGATTTTGCAAGAAGACAGTATCCCCACTAAACTGAATTATCATTAAAACCTATAAGCCAATTTTCAATCCGAAATTGAAAAATTATTTTTTTGTAGCAAACGGTAAAAGTCAAGACATTTTGATTCATATGGATTCACAGGCATATGATGATGATATTAAATGTGAATTAAAAAATGCTCTTGTTTTCCCTTCACTTACCTCTTTTCCTGGTAGCAATTCCTCTGAAGAAATATTAGTTTTGTTTGCTCTGGGTTTTTCTATTACAACTCCTCTATTGGATTTCTCCCAAATTCCTAAGCAATAGAAATGAAAACAAACACATACATATATATTGTTTAAAAACATACTAGATGTGATTAATAAATTCAGGTAAATATTAACTATGTAGAAAGCTCTACCCATAGTACATACATACAATGCACATCCACAAATATCAATATGCAGAGAATATAGTCACAAAGATGTAGGCTGATGTCATCATTACAATAATGACAGAAGCAAGATAGTGTCCTTTTCTACATACAACTTGATGAAATCTACATTTCAGTTATATTCATGTTTGATGTACATAAACATATAAGCTGAAGAGTAAAGATTTTTTGTCATTAATTTATTTTCATGTTGATAATGTAAGGTAAGACAACAAAACAAATATTCATTTCCTTGTTCATTTAAAAAGTTAGAATCTAAGGTACAACGTTTTAAAACTAATGGTATTTCCTAGCATGTTAACTTCAAACGGAGAACAAAAATACATAGATAAATATCAGTATAACATGAAGAATTATATCCTTAAGAATATCAATGATTCATTCGAAAAACAAACTCTGAGAGGCATAAAATAATCCCTAGCTCCAAAAATGGAAATATTTCCACAACTTTTATTTTTTACATTAAGAATCTATTTTCCATGGGAAAAAACGGATCTATAAAAATGTAATAAATACTCCACAAAGGAAATCTTTCTACTTTTCCATTAAGGTTAGATTAATGATAATTTGATTCAATATGACTAATGTTTACCCTTTTTGGCTTAGACATGGTATATGATGATGAATTATATATTGTGATCTAACTTTCTTTTCTTTCCCCAAGATTTACCAAGAATCAATTTCTTTTTTTCTTTTTTTTCTTTTTGAAACAGAGTCTTGCTCTGTCACCAGGCTTGAGTGCAGTGGCCTGATCTCTGCTTACTGCAACCTCCACCTCCTGGGTTCAAGCAATTCTCCTGCCTCAGCCTCCCAAGGGGAGTGGCACCATGCCCAGCTAATTTTTGTATTTTTAATAGAGACACAGTTTCACCATGTTGGCCAGGATGGTCTCAATCTCCTGACCTGGTGATCCGCCCACCTCAGCCTTCCGAAGTGCTGGGATTATAGGCGTGAGCCACTGCACCCAGCCCCAAGAATCAATTTCTTTACACCTGGGCAAAGCAAATTTCAAAATCTAACTGACTTTATCAGTAGGGATTCTCACCAATAGAGTGATCTAGTAGATGCAGGTTTTCTTTTCCTAAATGTGGCTCTATGAACTTAATTGTGAATGACTTCTAAGGAATAAAGTTGATGAAATAAAAGTGTTTTGTTCTGATATTAACTTCAACCTTCTTGTGCATAAAGTGTATTAAAAGTAAAAATTCCATTTGGTTGGCTATAACATTACTATTTTGGGAAATGTTATTAGAGTTTATATCTTCTGAGGAAAAGTTTTCATCAACTCTAGTATTTTTTAATCATCTTTGGATTTGTGAACACGTCTAAGAACATGATTAAAGTGACAGAACTGCATACAAAAATGCACAGTATGACTGTATGGCAGGCACATATGCATCACACACACACACACACACACACACACACACACACACACACACACACACACAATTAAGGATTCCCAGGCCTTCTTGTAAATCTCATTCATTAACCCCATGGGCCCATAGACTGCAGCTTAAGAATTCTGTTCCATTTCTCAAGACACATCACAACATAAAGTTTTAGACTCAGTGTTACACCATTTAACTTAAAATGCTTTTTTATGGCTTGCATTTTATAATGTCTTTTCAAGAAGATGGTGTTATAAATAAGGATCACTTCTAATTAAAATAAAATCCAGATTAATCACAGATTTTTAAATAAAAGAAAATTGAAACTGTAAGCCCCTTAAAAGAAAATATGGATTTTTTTTTAAAAAAAAGATTCACATAGAGAAGACTTTCCAGGACACAGAATGCAGAAACTATAAAATCCGCAACAATAAAAATACCATTAACTGTCAACGTGGATATGACAAACTGACTTGCCAATCTTTCTCAAAATGTCCACTTTCTGAAAATTAATATAGTTTATTTTTTAAACTCAGATTTTTGCTCAGAAAAACTGAGCAGAAAGTTCACATATACTTCCTCCCTGCCCCCAGTTTCCTCTACTGTTAACATCTTGCAATATATGGTATATATGTGACAGCTGATGAACAAATATAAAAACATTATTATTAACTAAGTCCACTGTTTACATTAGGGTTCACTCTTTGTGTTTTGCAATTCTATGGATTTTGCCAAATGTGAAATATCATGTACCCCTCATTACTCTGTCACACAGAATAGTTTCCTTGCTTTAAAAATCCCCACAGCACCACTTATGCATCCCGCCTTCCCATATCCCCTCCCTGGTACCCACTCACCTATTTACTGTCTTTATAGTTTTCTTTTTTCCATAATGTCATATAGTTGGAATCAGTCAGTATGTAGCCTTTTCACATTGGTTTCTTTCACTTAGTGATACACATTTAAGGTTCCTTCATGTCTTTTCATGGCTTGACATCTCATTTTTTTTTAATTGATGAATAATATTCCATTGTATTGATGTACCACAGTTTGTTTATACATTTACCTACTGAAGAACATTTTAGCTGCTTCGAAGTTTTGGCAGTTATGAATAAAGCTGCCATAAACATTCCTGTGCAGGTTTTTGTACGGACGTAAGTTTTCAACTCATTTGGATAAATACCTATGAGTGCACTTACTGGATCGTATGATAAAACTATGTTTAGCTTTGTAAAATACTGCCAAACTGTCTTCCAAAAAGCCTGTACCATTTTGCATTCCTAACAGCAATGAATGTGAGTTGTTCCGCATCCTTGCCAGAATTTGGTATTGTAAGCCATTCTAATAGTTGTGTAGTGTCATCTTGTTTTAATTTGCATTTTCCTGATGACGTGATGTTGAGCATCTTTTTATATGCTTATTTGCCATCTATATATCCTCTTTGGTGAGGTGTCCAGATCTTTTATGAATTTTTAAATTGGGTTGTTTGTTTTCTTGTTGAATTTTAAGAGTTCTTTGTATATTCTGAATACAAGTTCTTTATCATATATGTGTTTTGCAAATAGTTTTTCTTAGTTTGTGGCTTATCTTTTCATCCTCTTTATGATCATGCCTGCTTATTTAGCAATTCCACTTTGGAAATTTACCCTCCAGATATAGTTGTGTACATATAAGAAATAGTTCAAGGAAATTTGCCATACCATGTTTTGTGGTAGCAAATGAAGAGAGGAAAAAACCTTAACTGTCCATCAATGAATAACTGTCAATGGGCCATGGGGTTAAATCATGACATATGCACCAATGGAAAACTATTCCTCTAGTAGAAATAATGAAGTGTTTCTAGATTTTCTAAATTGTTATAAAAGAGAACATCTACATAGTGTGACAAGATTTTGAGTTACTTTTAACGTAGAGATATACATGAAGTAGTTACTCTTTCATTCTATTCAAAAGTTTTCAGTTTTTTAAAAAAGAAAAAATAATAAAGATCAAGTTATTAATGACAAGAAGGGACAACAATTGGATTCTTAATGTCACTTTACTTTTCTGTAGATAGCTCATTTAAAAGGCATTTACTCTGGAAAAATAACACTAGATTGAAGTATAACCTTTGTAGATCTGTTTCTGGAAATAACTGCTATTGTGTAGCTATAGTTTAAGACTTACAGAAAAAGTGAATTATCTTGTAATTATCATTTCACTCCCAAATACATTATGTTTATTCACTCAAAGTAATGTGCTCAGATGTTTATACAAACCATCTGCCTATATTCAAGATGACTAAGGAAAAAAAGAAGCTTAAGACTTCTCTTGCTGGTGAGCAATTCTAGATACAGAAAATGAATTATCAAGCAATTATGATAGCCTTTAAAATATAATCCATCTCCCTAAATTAAAAAGGTTTTAAAAAACTTAATGCTGTACAGGGAAACAAAAGGGATCTTCTTTAGGTAGAATTATTAACATGGAATCTACGCTAAATCTACTGGATTTAACAAATTGTGTCATTTTTACATTTGTTTGGAATTCAAAATGGTCAATTTTAAAATTTGGCAATGTAAAACTCTATGAACTCTAAACATTTAGTGAATTATTTCACATATTTTTAAAATGTATTTAAAATTCTATTCAATTATTATCATTGTCTAGAGAAGATAGCCCACTTTTGGCTCATCACTGTAAAATATAGTTATTTGCATGCAGTCAATACTGGTTTCTTTAAAAGCATGCCTAGATTAAGAACCTCAGAAGAGTGCAGAGGGTCACAAGAATGCCAGCTGCTCAACAGCTTCCCCTACAGAGTTCTCTGTGGTTCATTTTATACTTCTGGTTAGTTTCCACACTGCCGCTTTCTTTCATAGTGAGTAGAGGTTGGCAGTACTTCCCTGTGACATCCACTTTCACACCCAAATTGGTCTTCATAGGTTCCCATTGTGTGCACTACAAAGCAACTTGCCTTGTTGGCAGCTCTAAGTGGGAACTACAAGTCTTTCTTTTCTTCACTGTTCTTTTTCTGGCTCACAAGCAACCTCCCACCAAAAGCTGAATCTGTAGAAGAGACTACATCCAAGAGATAATACCATGAAAAAGTATGAAGAGAAACCCAGGTGGCCACCTTGCAAATTTCCAATGTGGAAGCCTTCGACCTCTCTGCCCAAGAAACAGCTAAAGTCCTAGTGTAATGAGCTTTACAAACCCTAGGAGCCTCTTTACCTTAACTACATACGCCTCCCTAATACAATCCCTTAACCATCTAGCTAAGGAACTCTTAGAAGCCATTTGACCCCTCTTAAGACCCCCTAAGAGTACAAACAATCTTTCAGAAGATCTGAAATCTTTGATTCTTCTGAGACAAACCCTAAGTGTTCTTCTTACATCCAATTGAAGCAGCCATTGCTCTTTGTCATTGCTGGGGCTAAAGAAAAATGAGGGCCAAGAAACCTCCTGGTTTAGATAAATCTCAGATGCCACCTTTGGAAAAATTGAGGAACTGCCCAAAGAACAACTTTATTCCAAAGAAGCATTAGAAATGCCCCATAAATCAAATCCATGGCCACTCCATAAGATATCATCACCTAATACAGTAAGGCACCACAACAGTCAAATAATGTCCTATCATTTTCTGAAGTGACAAAAATAGAAAACCATCAAATCATGACCAAACAAAAGCAAATAATGACTAAATATTTTTTTCTTTCTCAGAAAATATTTATTGTATCTCTACAAAATCTCTTGTCCACATTCAAATTACTGAGAGAATGGCTAATTTGGCTAAGTCTACAATATAATAGTAAACATCAAAGTAAAAAGTCAAATATTTAGTTAATCATCTTTATATTTTCTCTATGTGATGTTAAGTGTCTGGACATTTTTTAAAAATCTGCACAATGAAAAAAAACCCTCACTTTTCATCTGCTCATATGTTTGGGTTACATAGACATCATTGGCAACTCTTTCCAAGATCTTTATTAGCAAAATATGCTCCAATCAAAAGAAACACACAAGAAACCAAAAGACTTCCTTGCTATTTTCCCCCCATTCTCTTCTTACAAGATTTCTAAAAAAAACATTATCAGGAATACCCAATAGTTAAGATACATTTGGCTTCTTTAATCATCTATTTCAAGGAGTCTTTTCCTCCTGATTTAAGAAACCAATGCCTCTGATAAGAATTGATTAACTTGGATACACTGAATAAAACATTTAAGATTTTTCTTGACAATTTCCCTCAAGATCATTCTTCTCAGGAATCCATTTACGTAAAGTTGTGTCAGATTAAATCTATCTTGGCTTTGCAATAAAAAAATATGAATTTCAACAATGAAGACTACATATATCACAAGGAGACGTTCTAGTACTTAGACACTTCTTAGACTTGCCCATTGAAATTCCTTCTACATCCTGTTTGATAATCCACAAATGTGTTCATATAGTCCATTATTATTAACATGATATTGAAGTTGTTTTTATCTGCCTTGCTGCTTACGATACATTTGCAACAGTATATTGTGGCAAATTATATATTTGCTCTGTTGACTTTATTCAAGAATGGTAATCATTGCTCTCAAATATACAGCATTTGTCAAGTCTCCACATTGCCTGATCCTCATCTAATGGAGTTGAATCACCTTTTTCAAAATTTTTCTCCTTTTCTCTAAAATCAGCATGCCAAATCTGTGCTTTAATTCTTGGCCATTTCGGGGTTTATATCTTTATAATACCTCCTAACACAATTCTAATTTTGAATTTATGCTGCCTTTAAGAAGAATAAAGTTCACAAAACTGACTTAATTCCCAAGGGTCTAGCCTGGGACTAATACAAGATGATTCAAAATGGGTAGAAGCCTAGATGCTTTGGAGTTCACTCTGTTTCCTGATTCATGCCTTAGAAAAGATCTGTTAGACATATAGATGAGAGATGACAAATCTTAGCCAGGCATGGTGGATGAGTACCAACTCCAGTGCCAACTGTTCTAGGAACCAATATGTCAATCAATAATTAGGACACTGTATTTCTCTATTCAGATCTCTGACTTCACAGTCAAACTCTATCTAAAAGATGCTTTAAGGTTCACATTCTCTCCTAATTAAATCTACTTTTTCATTCTCTGTTTTAATTAATACTTGTATTTTCTGCCTTGTATTTTTATTATTTTCCCCATGGCTTTTTCTTTTCCTTTGGTTGGCTTCAGAAATATATAGTCCATCTTTATTTTTTCTTCGAATTATCTCCAAATTTAAAAAAGTAATCTATGCTATTAATTTTATAATATATTAGTGTTACCTAAATTTTGCCTGAAACAAAGAAGGCCAATAAACTATGCTTAATGTAAAACAAAATCCAACCCTATAAATTTTCTGACATTATTTACATGGGCAGAGTGTGTAACGGAATACAAGAATAAACAAATTGAATTAAAACAATTTTACCAAGAGATCAGTTTTGGGGATTAAAATTTTAGACTAATTATTAGTCATTTGCTTCCTTCACTTTGTTTTGCAGGTACAGCAAATATATATAGTTACACTCCTTAGAATGGCATAGGTATCATGCAAAGGAGAACTTTGTCCATCTCACTCTGAGAAAAATGAAAATTTTTATGAATATAGATATGACAACAGAGAACACACCTTACCCATTGTACCTTTGAATTTTACCTTTAATGTTAGAAATATTATTCAGCATATATCCTTACCCATTGTACCTTTGAATTTTACCTTTAATGTTAGAAATATTATTCAGCATATATGGCATGGCTTTTTTCAAAGGGATTTTGTTAAGAGTAAACTAAAAACAATATATTCCATAATTATAATTACTATTTTAACAACTCACATTTATTGATCATTTATGACATACTAGACATTCCTTTAGATATTTTATTTTCACTGTCATTTAATTCTCACAACCCTATATAACATTATAATATATTAAATTGCAAGCATCTAATCCTAAAAGAAAACAAAGAATAACTTAATATAGTCCTACGTCATTATTTTAAAGATGAAAAAATTCAGGTCTAAGGAGATTAAATGTTCTGCTCAAGATCATCTGGCTACTAGGAGTGAAAGAAGAGATATTTGACCATATGGTCTGCTTATTCTTTCCATAGACTAATCGTGTTCCTGTGAAAAGAAAAAGTGATCTAATTTTACCTAAAAATTATCCAGAATTGATGTATGATGCTTTGTCAATTGGAAATAAGGAGGGTGCCAAGCACGAAGGATAAAAATGTGTGCATTTTTATATATAATGCATGGTGTGCATTACACTGACTGCTTCTTTAAAGAATTCTTTCATGTGTTTTTTTTTCAAGTAATCATTTTCATTCAAAGTATCAGGAAGCAAAAACACAGAGAAATTATAGATTTACAAATTTAAACAAAAGAGGATATTACCTGAACACTTCCTGGGTATCTTGAGTGATAAAAGTAGTTCTTCAAACAATTCTTGAACACATTTTTCCAGTTTCATAAAGGATTTTATGAGCTCTGATAAGAATTCAACTTTGTCTAAGGGGAGAGAGAACTTTCTTCCTTTTTGTGGGCATTCAGGGGTAACTGTGAAAAGAAAAGATCAATATTGTCATGCATTTTATTTATCTTCTTAGTAAATATTAGAGCGATCTATGTGATTCCATAAACCATTTAAAAACTAACTGGATCCTCCATAATTAATACAAGTTAGTTCATTAAGAAACACATATAAAATCTCCTAGGAGTATCTTTTCTTCTGGGAAGATGGAGATGAATACTCTGTTTGAGGCAAATATGGCAATTAAATTATTAGATTGATTCTCAGAGTTATAAATGGAAAGAAATTGGATTTGTTGTAAAATCACATCTTACGCAATTCTGCTTTTTTTTTTTTCCTTAGTCTAGCATAACTTGAATCTAATGACAAGGAGATACCACACAAACCCAAATTGAGAGACATTCAACAAAATACCTGGTCTGTACTTTTCAAAAGTGTCATGTGAGGGAAGCACAAAGGCCAGGAAATGACCTAGTCTAAAGAAGTCTAAATAGACATTAAGTACAATTGAAATTAATACACAATCAGCATTTTATTTTGCTATAAAAGACATTGTTGGGATAACTTGGTGAAATATATTACATCAATTCTCAAGTCTATTATCAAATGCTATTATTGTATGACTTAATTTCTTGATTTACATAACTATTGTGGTTATGAAAGAGAATTTCTTTGTTTTTAGGAAGTACTGAAACATGTAAGAGTGTCTGCAGACTATTTTTAATTCAAGAAAAAATAAAATTTTGCAAAGAAAGAGGGAAAGCAAAAGTGGAAGTGTGGTCAAATATTAACATTGGGAAATCTGAATGTAAAGGAAACTTGGGAATTCTTTGTATTATCCTGGCAACTTTTTTGTAAATCTGAAATTAAAATAAACATTTTACAAATGAAAGATATATTCTTTAAGACCTTATATGTTTTGTTCCTAGCATTTAAAAAAAGCAAATTAAGGCGGACGCGGTGGCTCATGTCTTAATCTCTGCACTTTGGGAGGCTGAGGTGGGTGGATCAGGAGATTGGGAGTTTGAGACCAGCCTGACCAACATGATGAAACCCCATCTCTACTAAAACTACTAAATATAGCCAAGCGTGGTGTCTTGAGCCTGTAATCCCAGCTACTCAGAGACTGAGGCAGGAGAATCGGTTGAACCCGAAGGCGGAAGTTGCAGTGAGCCGATTGCGCCCCTGCACTCCGCCTGGGCAACAGAGCAAGACTCCGTCTCAAAAACAAAACAAAACAAAAATCAAATTAAGTTAGCTATTGAATCTAGACTATGTAATTCATGAAGTCATGTTTAAAAATAACTTTGTCAAAATAATTGTGATATCTATTATTTGCATAAGAACAATACAAATTAAAGAAGTTTTTTTTGTCCTCTTCTAATTATGCTTCTAGTAAAGTCATACTATCATTTTATTATGATAGTAAAATCACTTTATACTCTCTAACAGTATGGAGAACAATTCATTTATTTCATGTTTTTAACTCCAATTTGCTGCTTTCACTTTAGGTTATATCACTAAATGGTTTTTTTGACCGAGTTTTAAAGTATTTAAAAGAAACCTTTCTTTATTAGTGCCATTTCTTAAAACATATATTTAATAAATATCTTGAAGCTTAATTATAAATTGGAAAATTTGTAAACTCCTACAAACTTAACATAAATTGCCTTTGGAGACAAAATACAAGTGCTATTCAAAAATTGTACAGGGTCTGGCAATTCAATGGGGAAGAAAAAGGTTACTTTCATCACATGGATGTAGAAGGAAGATTCCAGAAATCTAACAATTTTATGGCTAATCTACTTCACGTCAGTGAAACTTTAAAATGTTAGCATCAAACTTGTAGTCCTATAATAGTCTTTCCCTAAGGACAAAAAAGGTCACGGTATCTTCACAGGTAATATGAGAAAGAGCTGTCTACCAACTTAGACTATAAAATTTAGTACTGTTCTGAAATAGTAAAAAGGCTTATAAAAATCTGCAAGTAGATACAAAAACTCTGTTTCATCTCTAAGTTGACATTAGCCCCATATACATGAAAATCTAACTGACGTGTACTGTTCTTCTACAGGCATGCTAGAGAACACACGTAAGTATAGGCAGCAAATACAACTAAGGCTTTGTCAGAAATAGTATGCCCCAAAGTGAAAAGAGAATAAATATATTATGTTTTATTTAGTTGGTGCTTGATTCCCATTTGGTCTGTTTGATTTCTCTTAAGCTTTGCTCATGTAGATGAGTGGCTAGTTTAATCTTCTAAACCTTAAATTTCCTTTTGCAACTAAAATGTTTAAAAACCAAATTTTTAAAAGGCTTTAAGAATACTTCCTAATTCTTTATTAGGAAAGGACACTCAATAGTTTGACTAGAAATTCAGCATATTTAAGAAGTGTTTATCTGGCTCAATTCCAAATTGGAAGTCTTGTGAATGTTTATAAAGTAAGCAAAGAAGCGCCTTAAAAATCTTTAAGAGTCAAAATTATACAAGACTGCTACTTGTTGACGATTACGCGAGGTCTGAGGATTCTATATAAAGAGGTCTTACTTTCATGACCTGGATTTAGAAGAATCTTGTACTCTAGGAATAAAACAATAGTGAAAAGGAAATCCTTTTTTAATTCAGTGAATCTTTATAAATTAATAATGCAAGAGGATAGAATAAAATATATGACCTAATTCTAATCATTTTTTTGTCCCAAAGAACCAATGATTATGGTAGAGGCCCATTAATTAGTAGTCTTTATTTCCTATTACTATCAGCTCAGTGTTCTCCCAAGGGGTATTGTACGGCTTCTTAATTTATGGGGAAATAATTCTGTGATGAATTCATTTGCGAAAGGCCAATTAAAGCAAAATTAAACGCAAAGGATGAAGTAGCATTTCCCAAACTTATTTGACTTATTTTACCTCACAGTATCTCATAGGACTAGTGTCCTAATCATCACACCTTAGCTCATGATTTCTACCTGCTTAAGCATTTGTTTCTCTGTCCCTTAAACTCTTCATTGTTAACCAAATAAGGAAGGAGTTTCTCCCAGCAGAGATTCCTTGACCTTCTCCTTTGCTAAATTAATCTCCTTTCCATGTTTTTCAATATTATTTGTTTGCTCCTCCCCTCTATGTCACTTCTCCAGAAAACATTATTTGCCAGCCTGGGCAACATGGCAAACCCCATCTCTACAAAAAATATCAAAACAAGCAAACAAACAAAAATTAGCTGGGCGTAGTGGTGCAAGCCTATAGCTCCAGCTACTTAGGAGGCTGAGGCAGGAGGATCACCTGAGCCTGGGCAGTCAAGGCTGCAGTATGCCGAGATTGTGCCACTGCACTCCAATCTTGATGACAGAGTGGGACCCTGTCTCAAAAAAAAAGTGGCTCCATCTCAGTCCGCTGCAACCTCTACCTCCAGGGTTCAAATGATTCTCCTGCCTCAGCCTCCTGAGTATCTGGGATTACAGGCACCCTTCTGAAAAGTTTATTTGGCTACAATCAATCCAGGAGTTCTCCTTCCCCCAGTAAGCCAACCTGGCCTTTATTTATTTATTTAAAACACTATGGAACTATCATGCTTTAAAGTTTTGGACATACATGTTTATACACAGGCAACCCTGTTTGGCCTGCTGCCAACAATTGCTGTAAAATATCTGACATAATAACTATTGTTTGGCTATAAGATGAGCTCTATGATTCTTAGGAAATATAAATTTCTCCTAAATCCCCAAAATAGTATCAAGATAAAATTAAATTTTCATTTTAGAGAAATCTTTAATTTCCCATTACCTAGAAATGAGTAAGTCCACGTAAGTAATAACTAGATAGTTGAGGGTTTTTCTTTATATATAATTTTAATAAGAATTTTTCTAAAATGCAATATAAAATAGTCTGCTTTATTTAGTGTATTTAAAACAATTTAAATTTTCCTTCATGGCAGAGTTATAATGAAAGTTACTTATTTCTATGCTACACTCAGAGACTAATGTTTGTTCCCTCTGCTAAAGGGCATTTCTGAAACTGATAATCATTTGAAAAGTATTCTGTGAACAAATAAGCTTGGGAAATACTACATACTGAATTCTCCTTAAAGTAATTCAGAAAGCGAATTAGCATATTAAAGTCTCTATTTACTTCCAGAATAAAGTAAAAACTTTCTAAACTTAGTGTTTCTCAAACCTTTTTGATCAATGAACACAAGTTAATCAGTACATATCTACTCCTGAGATACTCTCAAAAACAGTTGCATGGGGGACACTGCTCTGGATTCCTCCACAACTTGAGTGTTTATATCTGCTTTACAGATTTTCCTTTCATTGTGGGCTCTTGTTGCTGGTTGTGTGGACGATTTTACCGGTACCCTCTTCCATTTGTAAACCGCTGCTTCTAACATTATCATAGTATTTTTGCAGATCCCTTTAAGAAGCTACAGAAAGTCTTGTGAAGCCTCCTAGACCTTCTCATTGAATACAATTCATGTAGTCACAGTGTGAAGGCTGAACAGAACCACCTGAGGTCCATCTTTGGCTCTCATAGAGTTGTATGGTTCAGGACCTTCTGTATTATTAAAAATGCAAATTTCTGGGTTACTTTTGAGCAAGTGTCCCAAGTGAATTTTCTGTACACTAGAGTTTGAGAGTCCTTTCTGAGGGGTTCATGAGCTTTAGATAAAAACCCTTATGGTTAAAAATTACTCTGTATGCACCAAAAAAACCTAGATTTGGGTCTTAGAAGTCAACCAAAAAGTTGTTATTGCATAAAACACCATGACTTTAAAAAAAAAAAAAAAAAAAACTCTACTTTTTCGGCTGGCCATGGTGGCTCACACCTGTAATTCCAGTACTTTGGGAGGCCAAGGTGGATGGGTCATCCGAGGTCATGAGTTTAACACCAGCCTGGCCAACACAGTGAAACCCATCTCTACTAATAATACAAAAATTAGCCGGATGTAGTGGCGTGCACCTGCAGTCTACTCAGGAGGCTGAGGCATGAGAATCTCTTGAATTCCGGAGGTAGAGGTTGCAGTGAGCCG